TGAGATGCATCAGGACATAACACAGTGTCATTTTATGCTATGAAGGCTGCATGACGCTCTGTGTTTGGTTATGAGTAGGTCTATGACTAAATCAGAAAAAGTGAAACACCCCTCTAAATTCACTGTTGGTGGTTATTAATATTGCACCTGTTCATTGAGTAAATTTATTAATGTTAGTTTTAAACATGCAGTTGAGGGTCATCATTATTTGGCACAATGACGTGTTACAATTAAAAATAAATCAATAAACAACATAAAAGTAAAAAGCACCCCTAAAGTCATTAGATATGATAAACTGTGTGATATTAATTAACCTTGTGTCAGCTGTAGCAGTGAGTTTATAAACAGGATGATGAAACTAGTTTAATGAATAATCTGTCCCTGAAATAATTATTGAATCAAGTGTTTATTTATGTAGGTAAAAGTATGTTTAACAACCTGGTAAAATACACCAGAATTCAGGAAATGGCATTTATTTCATTCAAAATTTTCTGGAGGAGGACCACCCCAACAGTGTGTCGTCCCCCATCCACACACACTTTTAAAATGGTTCTGACACACATGTTTATAAGGTAGTCATTGCCTGTATAAGGACATAAGGAAATGAGGAAAACACAAACATCTGCAGAGGACTTTCAGGTAAAAAATGATGTAATTTTCCTGGACAACCCCTGAGAAAAATGTCTGACTACTCCGCCACTGCATGTCCTTATACAGTATAAAGTATAGGCTTTGGAGGCAGTTCCTAGATGTGGAATCTCAATGGTTAGTTTTTTTTTTTCACTGCCAGAATATCAGCACCACAGTGACAACTGTGAAATTGAGTGGAAATTTTTGAACAGAATTTGTCCATTTTCCACCTAAAAGTCTGGACTTGCTGGGGATAATTCATCATAATTCCTCCCTCTGCCTTAATAGTTTTGGCAAATGGGGCCTAGGTTTTTTTGTTTAGGGAACTTGTTATTTGGTTTAGAGAATTTGGTTTAGTTTTTTAGCAATAGTGAAAAGCTGTGGTGCTGAGAAGGAGCAGATAAAAAGTGCTAAGAATCTGTAAAAATAGAAAACACATTTTTTTGTGAATTTGGGCTTCAAACTGTTGTGCATTTAAATAATCGATGCATGAAACAATAAAAATGTCACCTCTTTTATTTAACATAATCCAGAATAGTTTTAATTTGTGTTTCTTTAAAAGTATAACGTGTCAGCCAGTAACAGTACACAAATATACTCGAGCATTACTTAACTTCTCTTCAGTTGTTCTCAAGCAAATGTGTAAGGTTCCCAARGATCAAAAATAAAGACAACAAAAATCAAAAGTGTAATTATTAGTTTGGCCACATAGTGGCAACATATGGTTGGCTTCAGTTGGCATCATCATCATCATCATCAAAGACATCGGCTACAGTCCTGTGGGTGAAGAGGTGAAGGGTTACAGAGTGTCGGTCAAACAAATGTCAGTAAGATTTAGAAGAGTGTGAAGACCTACTTGTAGATCGATCCWGTGACTTCATCAACAAATCCTCCTGAAAAGAWAAACAAAGTGAAACAAACCAACAACACAAACCACGTGYCCAATCTGGCACAGGAGAGTGTTTTCCTCCTTGTCTTTGTTTTAGACTAAACTTTAGACTACACTGAGGCAGCACAAGCACACAATGGATCTGCACATAGATCCTGCTCCTTCCTGTCTGTTGACCAATAGGAGAGGAGCTGACCCAAGAAGGACCGCCCACCTTGTTTGCATAATGAAGCAGAAATGTATGAGGAAATTTAAAAACAGGAGACAAAAAAATGTAAAAAACAGAACACAGAAATAAAAATACTTGTGGGAAAAAAAGAAACTTTTAAGAGACACCAATGCATGTACAAATTGGAAAAACAAAGAGGATACATGTTTTTAAAAACATTTAAATTTAAATTACATGTTAAATATATCAATTGTTAGAACTAAGCTGGAAAAATAAATATGAAGGTCAATGAAATGATAAAACATGAGGAAATTTCTCTCCTTTTTTAAATTAGTTGGTTCATTTTAAGCATATTTATTTATTTATTGGTCCATATTTCTGCTTTTATTTCTAATTATGTCAGTTTGGGTTCTCCATATCAGATCAGCTGGCAGCGCAAGAAAAACATTTTTTTTTCAATCTGATGCCTGGAAAATATCATGATGTCATGATCCTAATGATCAACACTTTGTAATATCACCACATGTCCAAGCATAAGATAACCTTTCCAAAGACATGTTGGTTGTTCAAACAAAGTTTGTCTAAAAAAAGAAAAAAAGTCTGCACCTTTATCGATGCGATCCCAAAACAAACCCCAGGCAAACCAGGCATCAAAATTAATCTTGTGATATAAACTTTTCAAAAAGTTAAAAAATAAATTTGTGCACTCCAAGAGGGTGCTGGACCATTGAAAGAGGATTTGCATTTGACATTGAAATCACACTGAGAACAGAAATAGACCTGTATTTACAAACACTAAGAGAGAGAGATAAGGAAAAGAATGATTTTATCAGCTGCAAATTTACCATACAGCTGCAAAACTTTCCACCTTTTTTCCACCTTTAAAAGTTGTTTCAAAGGCATTTTAAGGCTAAWTAACTTGTTTCCAGTGAGCCAAATACCTAAAAATATTTTGAGGTGTTTAATCTACATTTTACTTTATAGMAAAAGGCAAGCGTTGTGGTAATGAGAYAACAGAAAGAAAATTAGAGGCCTTAAAATGAATCTTTTCAAATTTGTCTGGCTTGAATACAATGTAAAAACAGTTTTACCTAAAACACATCGAATGATGAAAACCATTCAGTGGAATTGAACAAAACCTTCAGTTCTTTCTTTTGTCAGTGTGTTTTAGTAATGATCTGCACTACTTCTGGTTTACATTTTATGCTGGTGTTACAACCTGTTGTTCAGTTCTACAAACAATCACTGCAGCACCGGAGCTAAAAAAAGTTAGCATACAGCCCTGCATAGAGAAGCATATATAAAACGACAACTGTAGTTGTTTATTCACCAGTATCAGAGGTGGAAAAAACTTATTATTATTATTATTATTATTATTATTATTATTATTATTATTATTACTATTATTATTATTATTATTATTATTTGTAAACCATTTGCAAAGTTTGCATCTGCTTAATCAGATATCATATGTTATACTGTATACTGTACCTCTGTGTGTAACCATGTTAATATTTTTTGTACAAAGACAATTGAATATAGTTAGTTTGTCCAGTACACATTTTTCTCAGATTTGATCAAATTTTGAACCTTTTTRGTTTATCTTTCATGTCAGGCAGGTAACATTTAGTGTCACATGCCAGACAGGGTAGATTAAAAAACAGATTTAACATGTTGAACCCTGCTTAGACCCCAGTTTAGACTTGTTCCATATTATTTGGGTAACTGGATAAAATGAGCAGAAACAAAGATTTCTTTCAGTGAGTACTGTATCTGCTGTGATTGGCTGTAGTGTACTCACCAGGCTTGCAAACTGTTTCACAAACAGGACAAACGTGGCAGAAATTGCACATCTGTAAACAAGAAAGAGACATAAATTAAATGAGGCAGTCCAGCAGCTGTCGGTGTGTGTCTGCAGGGTCTCCACTCACTGTACACAGAGCAGACATATATGACAGGTTAAACAGGRGTGGAAAGGGTCCTGCTAGACTGGTCCTTATAGGTTTACATTCCCTCAGTTCTTTTAGAAAATGATGAATGGATGAACTACATAATGGAATAACTTGCTCTGGTTAAATGTGATATTAAAACAAGCCCTGTAAGAATATCCTGCACATGGAGCTTGTACTTGTATATAATCTAGTTTATGTAAGGGGCGTCTGTGGCAGAGTGGTTAGGGAAGTCATCCTGGAACCGGAAGGTCACCGGTTTGATCCCCCGTTCCAGCTGTCTCAGTTGTTGTGTCTTTGGGCAAGACACTTCACCCCAATGCCTCTGATGTGTGTCCCATCAGTGTATGAATGTGATTGGCACTGATTAGTCTCCATAGTGAGTTGTACATGTTAGCTTTGTAGGAGATCTGGTAGAGTGTGTGAATGGGTAAATGAGGACACAGTGTGAAGAGCTTTGAGTRTCCTGGTTGGGTAGAAAGGTGCTRTACAAGTACAGTCCATTTACTATTTAATCTAGAGTATAAAAGTGTATGTAATCTACTGTATTTAATCTTGTGTATGTAATTTAGTGTACATCATCTAGTGTACTATATGTATTTTAATGTATATGATCTAGTGTATGTAATCTAGTGTATTTAATCTTGTGTATGTAATTTAGTGTATATGATCTAGTGTTTGTAATACAGATTATACACTCTACAGCAGATCTAATAAAGGAGACACAAAGTTTGCACATGTTTTCTCACCTTACAGTCATCACAGTGTTTAGATTTATCTCCTTCTTTGCATGGACATTTATCACAGCTGTCACAGTGCTGGAAGAGAGCACATCAGTTAGAAAAACAGTCTAAATAATGTTCACATCTACTTCTAGATATTCAGCACGATCACTTCCTTTTCATTACACGCACACACACTGCGCACTGAAAAAGTTCTCTGATTTTTCATTAAATGTGTAAATTCTCATCCAATTCTCACAACGTTGTTTTCCTGTGTTTTATTTCTTGTGTTTCTCGCCCCTACTTACACACATGTAGTGTTATTTTATTTATTTGCAGTATATACCAAAATATTTAGCTTCTTCAAGAAATAATTTTCAATTAGTAATGTTTATACTTTTCAAAATGTTTACTTTATTTTCAAAAATTCCAAATAAAACTTTGAAATCCTTTCTAGTTCTTCAAAACCATTGTTCTCTTTGAACTCTGTGAGCAGACACTAGTACTTCAGCTAATACTAATTCTGCCAAAGCAAATTATACTTCTACTTATTATCAGGACTCTCAAGTTCTGATCTGAGTGAAACTTTGAGCTCCTGACAGCCCAATCGCTGTTTAAAAAAATTAACTCTTAAAAAAACCTCACCCCAAAACATTGCATCAAAAATTATACTAACATCCCGCTAAGCAGAGGTGTATAATAACTAAGTACATTTTCTTTGATGATATGTTTCCTTTACTTTAAAATTTAACACCTAGTTACCCGTTAGAAAATTAAATATTAATAATTTAAATAAATGTTTTTTCTTTCAAAGAAAATATGTATATTGCTCAATTTACTCTACTTGGTTTAGTGGAACCAGTTTTGTTAAGTAAATTCAACAGTTTATTTCTTGGAACGTG